GAGAAGAGTACGAGGGTTGTACTCGTCTCGGAGAGTGACTGTAGAAGATCTTATCGAGGGCGTGTACCTTGAGGTTGAACAGGAAGCCAGAGGCCTGGAACTCGACGGGGCTGATGGTGCGACCTCCGTCCATGTCCAACAATTCAAACACCGGCCTGGAGTGACGGAAGCGAAAGTTATTCTCCACGTGGTACTGAAAGAGGTTGCATACACACACACACATACGTGTTGCATTCACCCACATAAAGATAAGACAAACTGTATCAAAAGGTTCTGTAACGTACATTACCCTGTGCATTCCTCATTTCCGTTCCAGCTGTGATTTATTGCATTTCTATGAAACGTATGTTTTCTGGTCAACTTTGAATCATGGCAGTAAAACGCCTTTTTGTTGTCTCTGTAAACATGACTGTCATTTTTTTATGAGATATGAAAAGGGAATTAGGAAGTAGGTTGTGTTAAACAGGTTTTTATCTCTTTGTCTGAAAGCCAGATATGAGAAGTGGTTTCCCCATGATACACAAGATCAACAGAGAATGGCCTTTAATGGCCTTCAGTTTGACCGCATGGTTCTGACATACAAGCTCTATTCTCCTGACCGCATGGTTCTGACATACAAGCTCTATTCTCCTGACCGCATGGTTCTGACATACAAGATCTATTCTCCTGACCGCATGGTTCTGACATACAAGATCTATTCTCCTGACCGCATGGTTCTGACATACAAGGTCTATTCTCCTGACCGCATGGTTCTGACATACAAGATCTATTCTCCTGACCGCATGGTTCTGACATACAAGATCTATTCTCCTGACCGCATGGTTCTGACATACAAGCTCTATTCTCCTGACCGCATGGTTCTGACATACAAGATCTATTCTCCTGACCGCATGGTTCTGACATACAATATCTATTCTCCTGACCGCATGGTTCTGACATACAAGATCTATTCTCCTGATCGCATGATTCTGTAGTAACAGTTATGACATGATACAGTTTAATGAATGAATTACTTATCTGAACTTCAATACTGGCAGACAAGACAAAAATACACACACTACACACAAACACACACCCACACACACATACAGAAAAACACTACCTCGCTGCAGAGCAGGATGCAGACCAGCATGTAGAACTGTTCGAAGCCGATCTCTCCGCTGGAATTCCAGTCTAACATGTCAAAGGTCATCATGATCTCATTCTTCTTCAGGTCAGTCACATGGTGCATGAAGTGGTAGAACTGGATGTCTGCCAGAAAAAGAGAAATGGCTGCTCTTTAATAAAGTTTGTGGGAAAACGTTTTAATAACCAACATGATTTCTTGTCAGGTTACTGACTACACCTGACCTACACCCATATACGTAAGGAGGACACAAATTACCTGGATGTCTATTAATACATAGACAAACATTTTAACGTTTTTACCAACCCTTTTTTGTCATGTTACTTCCGCCACATTGCCCATACACATCTAAGTACAGGAATGAACTCAGGAATACTTAGACAGAAATCCACAATTGACCATTCAGAGTGTTCCTGTTGTGGACATCCAGTAGTTTGTAGTAATCAGACAGTATTTTGGCGCAGGGAGAGAAGACGTTAGTCACAGTCCAGATAATGTCCAACAGCTCCTTTCTTTAGCTTCATCTTGGCTTACTGACTGACCACTGCAGAACTGCTGTCCCTCTCAGCGCTACCTGACACTGACATCACAATGGTTCACCTGTCACCACTTCTCCCGAAGCTGCTACCTCTCCTTGTTCGGGCAGGCTTCGGCGTTCATCGTCACTGGCCTTCTAGCCACTGCCACTCCTCATCTCATCATTCCATTTGTTTTGTCTTGTTTATTACACACACCTGGTTCATATCCCCTCACCAGTACCTGTATAAGGGTTCCCTCTGCCCCCTTGTCTTTGTGTGTGATTGTTTATTGTGGAGGATAGTGAAGCTCGGTGGAGCTCTGTGTATTTTGTATCGCCGGGATATTTCCCTGTGTGCCTTGTATTTTCCAGTGCGCCTGTTTTGCGCACTAGAGTGTTTTTGACGCATTACTGCGTAACTCTGTATTTGCGGAATAAAGCCTGTTATTCTGTGATTGACCCTCCTGCGCCTGACTCCTTCGACATCACCTCATCACATCACCATGGAATTTAGTGTTCTATTACAGATTCTACATTCTATTGATAGAATTCTGACATTAACGATAAACTAATTTAGTAGTGTTTTAATTAAATGATCATTACATACTATTTTGACAGTATATGACAACTTACCAGTCTTTACTATTGATGTCACTACGCAAAGGTGCATCATCACAGACAAACAAGTCTAAAGAAAAAGTGAAAGTGAAAGACTTTCCTTGCTTACCTTTGTTACATCATTTCATTCCCTCAGTACCTACAGCGTTACGTCATCTCAATTATTAAATGTAGCCCATTTCCCAAGTATTGCTGAATCATAACATAAAACTAGTATAGGCTTAAATGAAACCATTTTGGTACCACTGGCGTGTACTGCACAATTACATACCATGTTTACATTTATACAGTCATGGATAAGAAGGATAATAATTGTAATCAAAGTGAAGAGATTGATTTTGAGAGGTGGTTGGTTGAGGCTACAAGATACAGATTATATTTATTTATTTATTTATTTAATTCACCTTTATTTAACCAGGTAAGCCAGTTGAGAACAAGTTCTCATTTACAACTGCGACCTGGCCAAGATAAAGCATAGCAGTGCGATGAAAACAACAACACAGAGTTACATATGGGGTAAAAAAACATAAAGTCAAAAAATACAACAGAAAATATATATACAGTGTGTGCATATTAAGCAATAATATTGAAAGAATGCATGCCAGGAAGTCTATTATCATGTCTTGTTTAGGAAGATTAGAAAGTGAATGAGTTCCTCGTTCTGCCCGTCTGTACTTTTCTCAACTGGGTAATTTTATTGGATGCTAAATGTCATCGACATAGACACATATTAAAAAGCCACTGTTTAGACTTCAGCGTTATTCAGAGGATAAGTGTTGATCAGAAGATGTTTCATTGTTGTCTAAAGGTATGAACAGTTTACTTTTAAATTAACTTGTTGGGCTATGAAGTTATTATGCAGATCAAGTATTCATTTTGTACATCATATTCTATTTGTTATGAACACTTAGATTTGTATATTTACATGTTTGACAAAACATTAGGAGGGAGGGGGAGAGAGATGAGAGAGTAGAGAGAGAGAGCAGCAGAAGAGAGAGAGAGAGAGAGAGAGAGAGAGAGAGATAGAGAGAGGAGAGAGAGAGAGAGAGAGAGAGAGAGAGAGAGAGATGAGAGAGCAGAAGAGAGAGAGAGAAGAAAAGAGAGAGAGACGGAGAGAGAGGAGGAGAGAAGAGAGAGAGAGAGAGAGAGAGAGAGATGCGAGACAGAGAGAGAGAGAGAGAGCTCTCTCTCTATCTCTCTCTCCTTCTTCTTCTCTCTCTCTCTCTCACTCCCCTCCCTCTCCCTCCCTCACATCCCTCCCTACCCTGCCTCCTACTCTCCCTCGTAGATGAGGTTTACTTTACTAGGCATTCTAATCCTACACCAGGCCAAAAGCCAAAGCCCCAAGTTCACTCAGAGCAGCTGGAATCTTCTACCCAATGGTAGGAAATCATCACCTCTGATCAGTACATGTATATCACTGTCATCTGAAGATCAGCACAGTTTGTAACGATAATGTCAGCCTGTACACTTGTCGGTATGTTGTCAGCTCATTATTAAGACTTGTATATGTGTTTCCAGTCTGGTATAGTACAGTACATTCAGAAAGTATTCATACCCCTTGACTTATTCCACATTTTGTTGTGTTACAGCCTGAATTCAAAATTGATTAAATGTATTTTTTTCTCTCACCCATCTACACACAATATCCCATAATTAGAAATGTTTGCTAATTTATTATACATAAGTATTCACACCCCTGAGTCAATGCATGTTATAATCACCTTTGGCAAGGACTACAGATGTGAGTCTTTCTGGGTAGGTCTCTAAGAGCTTTGCACACCTGGAATTTACAATATTTGCACATTATTCTTTAAAAAGTTATTCAAGCTCTGTCAAGTTGGTTGTTGATCACTGCTAGACAGCCATTTTCAAGTCTTTCCATAGATTTTCAAGCCAATTTAATTTCTAAACTGTAACTAGGCCTCTCAGGAACATTCAATGTCATCTTGGTAAGTAACTCCTGCTTTGTCTCCCAGTGTCTGTTGGTGAATTTGTCTCCCAGTGTCTGTTGGAAAGAAGACTGAACCAGGTTTTCCACTTGTTTTTTGCCTGTGCTTAGCTCTATTCTGTTTCTTTATTTAGACTTGCCATAACAAAGGGGTTAAATACTTATTGACTCAAGACATTTCAGCTTTTCAATTTTAATTAAGTTGTACAATTTTCTAAAAACAAAATTCAGCTTTTATGTTATAGGGTATTGTGTGTTGGCCAGTGACACAAAATCTCACTTTAATCAATTTTAAATTCAGGCTGTAGCACAACTAAATGTGGAAAAAGTCAAGGGGTGTGAATACTTTCTGAAATCACTGCATATAAAGATCAGTTAGTTATATTTTGGTTTTGCCAGTCCGGTGTATAGATGGTATAAAGTTGTGGGTATGTTTATGTCAGTTCATTATAAGGTTATATCAAGTTGTGGGTATGTTTATGTCAGATCATCATAAGGCTATGTACAGTTGTGGGTATGTTTATGTCAGATCATCATAAGGCTATATAAAGTTGAGGTAGTGTTTATGTTTGTGTTGATGAGCTACAGTCTGATCCATAATTATTGGCATCCTTGAAAAAGATTAGCAAAAAAGACTGTAGAAAATAAATAATACAAATACTGAACTACTGTATATTTTATCCTCAAACAAATGGAAAAATTTAAATATTTTATACCAGTACAATTATTCAGAGGAAGAGATTTTGTTTAACAAGTAATCTTTTTTTTCTCAAAAAGATAGGGTTCAAATTTATTGCCACCCCTGTTTTTAATAGGATAACGGCACTGAGCCTTTTTCTAAAATGTTTTGAGATTGGAGAACACATTGGAAAGGATATTAGAGCTTTCCATTCCTCCATACAGAATCTTTCCAGATCCTTGATATCCTTCGTCTGCGTTTATGGGCTGCCCTGTTCAATTCAAACCACAGGTTTCCGATGGGGTTCAAGTCCGGTGGTCAATTTAGAAAAAGGCTCAGTGCCGTTATCCTCGCAAGGTGAGGTATTGAAAGGTTTTGACAACAATGTTGGCAATAATTTTTACCAATCTTTTTTAGATAAAAAAATGATGCTTGTTAAACAAAATCTCTGAGCAATTGTATTACTATAAAATAATATAATTCTCAAAAGAATTTGAGCATACAATATAGTTCAGTATTTTTATGATTTATTTGAAACAGTCTTTTTTGCTCATCTTTATGAAGGGTGGCAATAATGCTGGACCTGACTGTATATGTTGGCGTTGATTGAAGTGTGTGTTGTCACCAGTTGTTGTGGTGAATGTAGACGGCTCGCTGGTTCAGCATCCTCTGACCTGCCTGGGATCCTTCAACCGAGAGGAGGAGGGTTGGAGGAAAGACCGTGACTGGGTGTGGCGGAGAGATGGAGAGGAGGATGAGGAGATTCTATGGATGATAGGTGAAGAGGAGAAGAAGAGGGGGAATAGCTTCCTTGTCAACCTGGAAGAGAGAACTGGAGGAGGGGTCTTTACATGTCACAGCCTGGATAGAACCCTGCTGAAGAATACTACGGTGCTGGTCAAACACCTGGACGAACAGAAACGCATTCTAGAAGGATCCACCAGAACAGGTACACAGGATGTCTGTCTGTCATCCGAAATCAAGTCAAACATTAGTTTTTCATTCATTATCCAATTCTAACATGACATCTTCTGTCTCTCTTCTGTTTGTTTGTTTCTATTCTAAGGCTATATGAAATGTTCTACACGGAACTTCCAAGGAGAGTTCCACTGCTCCTGGAAATATACCACTACATATGTTGGGACTGTTATGTCTGTCAGAGTGGCACGGTACTATCACCACCAACCTTTATATGTATCACTACTACACTCTTAGAAAAAAAGGTGCTAAGTAGAACCATACAGCATTCTTCGGTTTGTCCCCATAGGGGAACCCTTTTTGTTGCTGGTTACAACCCTTTGCAGAGGATTCTATCTAAAACCCTCTATGTAGGGTTCTTCAGAGAACCCCCTGTATAATATACTATGGTTCTACCAAGAAACCTCTATGGAGGGTTCTGCTTAGAACCGTCTATGATGGGTTCTACCAAGAACCATTTTATCTTTGGAGGGTTCTTCCTAGAACCCTCCATGAATGGTTTCACCAGCCTTTTTAATTGTATTATTACATGACATATATCATAAGGCCTGTCTTTGAGAGCCTAGTTATAGCCTAACAAAGTGGCGTTAGGAAACTCCTGGTTCACAGGCCACATCAGGCCTGCAAGTCACATTATACTGGCTTGCAAAGTGATGTGTAATTCCTATTGGAATCCAGCCAGAGTTAGGATATCCAACAAGTGAAATTGTTAATCACCTGCAACCTGCATTCAGAATAACTGCCAGGGTAGAGAAGATTGAATACTGAGCCTAGCTCAATAATCTAAACTGGAACAACCATCTCAGTAACAGGTGCAATAAATCCAATTACTAACAGATTGGATTAGTTTAGAAAACGGTGTGTTATTTATCTTAATTAACCAATCAATGTATAGTACATGCAAAAACACAGATATTACAGTAAAATAAACAATTCAGAAAATCTCCCTGCAATAGAGCATGCTGGGAAATGTTATATATGGTTCTATGTAGAACCCTTCTTGCCTTCCAAATAACCCTTCTTACGTTCCAAAGAATCATCAAATAACAATTTCTTCCAAAAACAGTTCTTAGGATGCTAAAGGTTCTAGGTAGAACCCTTTGCCTTACAAAGAACCCTTGTCTTCCAAAAAGGGTTCTTCTAATCAAAGCGGTTCTTGGTAGAACCCTATCCCTCCTTACAGAACCTGTTTGAAACCCTTTTTTCTAAGAGTGTATACATTCTATGGGTCTGATTAATGTATAGTGCTATAGTGATGTATAGGATATAACATGTGACTATTGGAGAGTTCTGTATAGGATATAACATGTGACTATTGGAGAGTTCTGTATTGGATATAACATGTTACTATTGTATAGTGTTATAGTGATGTATAGGATATAACATGGGCATAATAACTTACAGTATTTACTTGATTTCAAATTTAATATTAGTGAATGGACTACTGCAATGGCCTGTGTTACTCTAATTTCAGTCATCCATTTCTTGGCTTTTCTATAGTGACCAGTCTGATGCGGAGGACGTCAGCTGTTCTGTGGACGCCAGTGGACAGCAGTGGACATGTTTGTCTTCGTCTGGCCAGAGTGACATCATGTGTTCTGTGAACAGTATGGGACTGGGGGTGTTCTGTGTGGACAGACAGTATTGTCCCTATGCTGAGGAGACTGACCGGATCACCCTGACCATCTATATGAGGACTAACTACCTGCTGGAGGAATACTCCCAACACTTCTACTTATCAGAGATAGGTGAGGACACACACACACACGGAGACACACACACACACACACACACACACACACACACACACACACACACACACAAAGAGAGAGACAAACACACACACACACAGAGACACACACACACACACACACACCACACACACACAGAGAGAGAGAGAGAGACACACAACACTTCTACTTATCAGACATAGGTAAGTGTTAAGTAGGGACCTTGTAGCAGTCATAAGGGCAGATATGTTGCAAGAGGCTGGCAGGATCAGGTGCACAAGTTGTGATTTTAGGCTACTTAAAGGTGACCATAATGGTTTATGTGTGCACTTCACTATATTTACCAACTAATAAAACAATTATGTTTACTAACTTCACAATGTAAGTGGTCTCTGAAAAGAAAATGCCTTGGAGCTGGCAAAGCTGTCTATCCCATAACAAACATTAAGAATGCAGAAACAAAGCTCTCTGAAATGGCAGGACTTTTAGAGCACTAGTGGAGAGAAACAGTAATAATGTCTTCGTCACCACAGTTAGGAAACCTGCCTCTATAGACAGTGCTGTGAAAAAGTATTTGCCCCCTTTCTAATTTTCTCTACTTTTGCATATTTGTGATACTGAATGTTATCAGATCAAACTGGCGAAAACCAAACTCTGTATTCCACAGTAAGAAAGAACATCATACCAAAGGTCAAGCATGGTGGTGGTGGTGTGATGGTTTGGGGATGCTTTGCTGCCTCAGGACCTGGACGACTTGCCTTAATAGAAGGAACCATGAATTCTGCTCTGTATCAGAGAATTCCACAGGAGAATGTCAGACCATCCGTCTGTGAGCTGAAGCTGAAGCGCAGCTGGGTCATGCAGCAAGACAATGATCCAAAACACACAATCAAGTCTACATGACCTAATCCCAATTGAGATGTTGTGGCAGGACTTGAAACAAGCAGTTCATGCTTGAAAACCCACATGTCACTGAGTTAAAGCAGTTCTGCTTGGAAGAGTGGGCCAAAATTCCTTCACAGCGACGTGAGAGACTGATCAACAACTACAGGAAGCATTTGGTTGGAGTCATTGCAGCTAAAGGTGGCACAACCAGTTATTGAGTGTAAGGGGGCAATTACTTTTTCACACAGGGGAATTGGGTGTTGCATATCTTTGTTTATGAAATAAATATGTAATTGTTGTGTTATTTGTTCACTTATGTTCCCTTTATCTAATATTAGGTTTTGGTTGAAGATCTGATAACATTCAGTATCACAAATATGCAAAAGTAGAGAAAATTAGAAAGGGGGCAAATACTTTTTCCCAGCACTGTCTATAGAGGCAGGTTTCCTAACTGTGGTAACGAAGACATTATTAGTGTTTCCCTCCACTAGTGCTCTAAAAGTCATAGCACTTTTTCATAGCACTGAACAAAAATCGGATTTCTCTCAAATTTTGTGCACAAATTTGTTCACATCCCTATTGGTGAGCATTTCTCCTTTGCCAAGATAATCCATCCACCTGGATGCCGGCCTCACAACCGCAGACCACTTGTAACCATGCCAGCCCAGGACCTCCACATCAGGTGGGTGGGTGCTGAGGAGTATTTCTGTCTGTAATGAAGCCTATAGTGGGGAAAAACTCATTCTGATTGGCTGGGCCTGGCTCCCCAGTGGAAGGGCCTGGCTGCCAAGTGGGTGGGCCTATGCCCTCCCAGGCCCAGCCATGGCTGCACCCCTGCCCAGTCATGTGAAATCCATAGATTAGGCCCTAATGAATGTATTGCAATTGACTGATTTCCTTATATAAACTGTAACTCAGTAAAATCTTTGAAATTGTTGCATGTTGCGTTTATATTTTTGTTCAGTATACAAATATCTTGCACATATACGTAGACCTAGCAGAGGATTATATGCTGAGTGTTTGTTGGTTTAAGTGCTACTGAAAGTTAGTTTGATTGTGCAGAGTGCTGGTAGAAGTTATGGTAATATTCTCTCTCCCACCTCTCTCCCTCTCCTTCACTCACCCTCTCTCTCTCTCGCACGCTCTCTCTCTCTCTCCCTCTCTCCCTCTCTCCAGTGAAGCCAGACAAGGTATCCATTAAGGAGGTTAACAGCAGTACTATAGAGTGGAGCTATCCTGTCTCCTGGAACAGACCCATCTCCTACTTCCCCCTCTCCTTCCAGGTCAAAGAGATCGAAGGCAGAGAGCGCAAGAACGGGTGCACGTGTGATTCTCCCTGCACAGAGTCCAAGGTGAGGATCACTGTCTATATACTGTACGTACTACTAGCCCTTGTCTCCAAAGCTTGATGAGGGCCATTACACCAAGAGATCCAGACCCTGTACTAACAGTCGTATACTCTTGAACTAATTGACGGGTTCACTCTGGTCCCTGGTTATATTCATTCGAGCACACCGTAGCAAAACATTTTGCAACGAAAAGGAGCATTTCTTATTGGACAAGTTCATGTAGTCCCTCTCTGCGTCAGGCCATTTTCTTCCATTTGGTGCTTAATGAATTCAACCCCTGTGTTCCTCCAGGTCCACAGCGCAGAGAGCAGCCAGTGGTCAGTAAAGGCCAAGGTGACGGTGTGTGTCAGGGCCCAGGATGCCCTCTGTGACACCACCTGGAGCGACTGGACAGAGTACAGGTCAGTACCACACTCTATACTGTATTCAGGAGAACCTCTCATCAAGGACCCCCAGCCGTTCCATGTATTTGAACTATTCAATTCGTCAACTAATCATCAAGCCCTTGAATACTACTGAATCAGTTGAGCTAGTTCAGGGCTACAACAAAATTGTGAAATGGCTGGGGGTCTCCGAGGAGAGGGTTTAAAACCCCTGCTCTAGTCTACTGTTTTATCATGCTACATCTACCAGGGTGAAGTTCAATTGGGTTTTCCATTCAGTACATTCAGGAAGTGGATCGAGATTCCATTTCATAAATTGAAAATATGCCATTGTTTATCAATTCATGAATTTAATTTCTAAGAAGACATTGCAGAAAAACATGTTTTACAATATGTTGTGATTTTTCAGAAGCAGCAACAAGGGAAACAAGAGGGGGAAGCAAGAGAAGCAGAAGAAGCAGAAGAAGAAGCAGAAGAAGAGTGTGTCTCAATAGTAGATCTTTACCATACTGATGGCCATCAAATATTATCCTATTTATTCACTCTGTAGAGTTTGTAGGCATTCACACTCTAAAACATCAACTATGACAAAGGTGACTTTGTTGCCAAGATCAGAGATTGTATTTCTGAACTCATTTACTGACACAAACTTTACTTTTACATTCTTTATAGTTGTTATGAAATGTATTTAGTAATATTTATTTGATCATGATTATTGATTTATTGTTGTTGCTTTTTATCTCATAGAGTATGACATGACGCCTCCTGAGTGGCGCAGTGGTCTAAGGCACTGCATTGCAGTGCTAGCTGTGCCACTAGCGATCCTGGTTTGAGTCCAGGCTCTGTCGCAGCCGGCCGCGACCGGGAGACCCATGGCGTCGTCCAGGTTAGGTTTGGCCGGCAGGGATGTTCTTGTCCCATCGCGCACTAGTGAATCCTGTGGTGGGCCGGGCGCAGTGCACGCTGACACGGTCGCCAGGTGTATGGTGTTTCCTCCGACACACTGGCTTCCGGGTTAAGCGGCTCGGTTGGGTTGTGTTTCGGAGGACGCATGGCTCTCGACCTTCGCCTCTCCCGTGTCCGTACGGGAGTTGCAGCGATGGGACAAGACTGTAACTAACCAATTGGGTACCACGAAATTGGGAGTAAAAATAAAATAAAAAGAGTATGACATGCACTGAACTGATATTTTTGTGACTTTAATACTCTAAATCAAAATAAACATACAAACCTGCATTTACAGTAAGTGTGTATGAGTTATTTCCTCTACTCTGTGCTCACAGGCACTAATGAATTTCAAAATTAAAAAAGAACAACGTGAAATCAAGCATCATCAAAGGAAGTAATGTATGACTAATCTCAGCGTTAAATACAATATAAATACCTCCGGTAATACACTTCCTTTGTCTCTGACAAACCACAACAGGATGTCCAGGAAACTGGTTGGATGGCTTAGACCAATGGCTTGACAGTTGAGGGTTCTAGAACACAGTGACTGTTGCTTTTCTCTCTATTTATCCAACATGGGGTTTTGGGGTTGCTGGGTGGGATGGGATGGAAGTTATTTTGCAACACTGTGCATGAGGTGCACTGACTCCCACACAACTACAAAGCAGTTTGGAATTGGTAAGGTTTTGAGATATATTTATTTTCATACATACGTACTAGTTGAGTATGTTTTGAATGCAGTACCTAGTCGAGGAAATCTGAGTCCAGAAACATCTTACTTGGTTACACAATTTAATTGCAGTATTCATTCTTAAAATAATTAAATGATAGTCAAACTATAACCCTTCAATTTGGATCAAGCAATGGACTTCAAAATAAACCAATCAGTATGGCATCATGCTCAAGCAATAGACTTTAAAATAAACCAATCGGTATGGCATCATGCTCAAGCAATAGACTTCAAAATAAACCAATCGGTATGGCATCATCCTCAAGCAATAGACTTCAAAATAAACCAATCAGTATGGCATCATGCTCAAGCAATAGACTTTAAAATAAACCAATCAGTATGGCATCATGCTCAAGCAATATACTTTAAAATAAACCAATCGGTATGGCATCATCATCAAGCAATAGACTTCAAAATAAACCAATCAGTATGGCATCACATTCAATAACAGTAAATAACCAGTTGCAACCTTATACAAAGGTGGGCATATAGTGTGTAGTGGAAATCTACTGTGTCTCTTTCTGCTTTTTCAGTGTCTTACACGTATTCTACATGTTTGACCTGTTGCGTACTTAGAAATGCGCCTGTTGTAGACAGACAGGGTGTCTGAGGTTTGCTCTCAAAAGGTCGGCTCAGCGGGAGTGGAAATATTGGCTGAACGACCAGACTGTGGTTGCCAGGTGTTCTCCTCCTCTGCAGCTGGTCTCTGGGAGCAAACGCTTTGCTGGGGCGGCAGGTAGCTTAGTGGTTAAGAGCGTTGTGCCAGTAACTGAAAGGTCACTGGTTCTAATCCCCAAGCCTACTAGGTGAAAAATCTGTCGATGTGCCCTTTAGCAAGGCACTTAACCCTACTTGCTCCTGTAAGTTGCTCTGGATAAGAGTGTCTGCTAAATGATGTAAAGAATGCACTTGGCTATCTTTGTGTAACCCGTAGCGATAGTATAAATATGCTGAGGGGGAAATACCTCATCAGAGCTTCTGACTAAACTCCACATGAAGTGCTGTTTGTCTGTAATCTCTCCGCTGGGGTGAATAAACATAGATTCATTTAAGCTTGACATTGGGGTCCTTAGTTGTAATTTCCACGGCAAGTGGTACAGAGAGGGGGCAGATCTTCCGTCTCAATTCACTTAAATGCACCAAATTCCTGTCACTGCCAATACAATGCAATTCAGGCATGTTGTTTTCTTGTCTATGGTATCCAGCTTCTCCTGGTGGATATGACAGACGGTAACATAGTGCAATCTGCTTTGTATTATTGTTGAGCGCAGCCACGTCTTCAATCTCCATGACAACCATATGAAATCAGAATGCAGGCAACAAGTGTTTTTATAGCACTTGGGCAACAGTCAGCAAAGATGAAGAGTTGAACTGATAGCGCCTTATAACTCAAATTCTCACCTGATGACCTGTTCGTCCTCTCCCTGCCTCAACATGGGTGGTGCTCTCTCTCACACTTTCTCTAATGCCTGTCTTTGAACCCTGCCATAATCATATGACCAAATACCTTTATAATATGACAAAAAAATGGCTGGCCTTAACAATGATGGGGGTAGCTTGATAACATGAATTAGAGTCTGCTTTTATTAGCTAAATTATGTATTTACTGTCTGGAAATAGGTATAGTTAGCTAGCTGACTACATAGTACCAGTATATTATGAATTGTACTGTATAGTTAGGTAGCTATGTAGCCATTCATTCATTTACTTACAGTCCTCTGCACTGCGCAAAAAAATATTATGCTCTGCACTTTGGCACCTCCATTAAGGGAACTAGCTACTGTTACTAGGGTGACCACTGACTCACTGAGTGCTGCTCATCTGAAACTGCAGTTGAAAAGGAAAAGGGGAAGTTCCTGATACTGTGCTAGCTTTGGTGCTAACTTAGCTAGCTAACGTCAGCCTGGCTGAAATAGCCAACCTAGCATTGCATCACTCAGTATACAACTATTTTTACACAATATTATCTCATCACCAATAGTTTGGTAGTTATACAACAACATAGGAATATATTTAAGAAATATTCATGAAATTGTACTTGTTTTAAACTTTCAAAACATTTATACATTGGAGCGTGAATATATAGCTACATTTTTCATCCCCGTCCCAGAACTGTCCAGAAGTGCAATTTCAACTATCCCAAACTGAAAATGAATCATCCCAAATAAAAACACTTTGTTTATTTTTATGTTTTGATATGCCAACATGGGTTTACTCTAGGACCTGAAAGGGTGCATACTGCCACCTGTAGTGTGTTGTCTGAACAGGTATAAAGCCAAGGTTTATGTTTTCTCATGAGTATAATTAATTGGCTGATCCCTCCTGATGACCTGGATGGAATGATGTGATCCTTCCTTAACACATAGGAAATCCCACCCAGTTGACTACTTAAAAATGGTGAAAGTCCTCAATGGTGCTGCCTGTGCTAAAACAGGCTTTTGGGCACTAGAATCCTCTATCTATCTCTATGATTAACCCCTGCCCCTTATCCAGATAGATTTAAGTGCTGATGATGAAGCTCACCAGTCAAGATATGTTCTCTTCTAGCAGATTGCATATCAACACTTACAACATACAGTGGGGAAAAAAGTATTTAGTCAGCCACCAATTGTGCAAGTTCTCCCACTTAAAAAGATGAGAGAGGCCTGTAATTTTCATCATAGGTACACGTCAACTATGACAGACAAAATGAGAAAAAAATATCCAGAAAATCACATTGTAGTATTTTTAATGAATTTATTTGCAAATTATGGTGGAAAATAAGTATTTGGTCAATAACAAAAGTTTCTCAATACTTTGTTATATACCCTTTGTTGGCAATGACACAGGTCAAACGTTTTCTGTAAGTCTTCACAAGGTTTTCACACACTGTTGCTGGTATTTTGGCCCATTCCTCCATGCAGATCTCCTCTAGAGCAGAGATGTTTTGGGGCTGTCCCTGGGCAACACAGACTTTCAACTCCCTCCAAAGATTTTCTATGGGGTTGAGATCTGGAGACTGGCTAGGCCACTCCAGGACCTTGAAATGCTTCTTACGAAGCCACTCCTTCGTTGCCCGGGCGGTGTGTTTGGGATCATTGTCATGCTGAAAGACCCAGCCACGTTTCATCTTCAATGCCCTTGCTGAAGGAAGGAGGTTTTCACTCAAAATCTCACGATACATGGCCCCATTCATTCTTTCCTTTACACGGATCAGTCGTCCTGGTCCCTTTGCAGAAAAACAGCCCCAAAGCATGATGTTTCCACCCCCATGCTTCACAGTAGGTATGGTGTTCTTTGGATGCAACTCAGCATTCTTTGTCCTCCAAATACGACGAGTTGAGTTTTTACCAAAAAGTTCTATTTTGGTTTCATCTGACCATATTACATTCTCCCAATCCTCTTCTGGATCATCCAAATGCACTCTAGCAAACTTCAGACGGGCCTGGACATGTACTGGCTTAAGCAGGGGGACACGTCTGGCACTGCAGGATTTGAGTCCCTGGCGGCGTAGTGTGTTACTGATGGTAGGCTTTGTTACTTTGGTCCCAGCTCTCTGCAGGTCATTCACTAGGTACCCCCGTGTGGTTCTGGGATTTTTGCTCACCGTTCTTGTGATCATTTTGACCCCACGGGGTGAGATCTTGCGTGGAGCCCCAGATCGAGGGAGATTATCAGTGGTCTTGTATGTCTTCCATTTCCTAATAATTGCTCCCACAGTTGATTTCTTCAAACCAAGCTGCTTACCTATTGCAGATTCAGTCTTCCCAGCCTGGTGCAGGTCTACAACTTTGTTTCTGGTGTCCTTTGACAGCTCTTTGGTCTTGGCCATAGTGG